ACAAATACTGAAAATTTAAAATTCATAGTTTAACAAGTAATATTAATTCTAGAAAACTTGCGACAATTGTATCATTATTTTTAAGGGTGGTTCTAGAAATGATATTTAGGTATATGGGTCCAAAGATTAAATTAACGAAAATATTCAAAATTAACCATAATAACCGGAAAATAACTAGAGTTTTCTAGGTGTCTATAAAAGCTCTAGTTTTACTTGAAAGCTCAATTTTTAAACGGCATGATATATTTTTTGTCTAATTTTTTTCATGGCTGTTGTCAAACATGTCACCTCATTTCGGCTTTAGACTGCCCGAAGACAGGTCCATGGTGTGAGAGCACCATAAACTAATGATTTCCTTTCTCGACCTTGTTTATATTACCATTGCAATTTAATTACCATTATTCATTTTTCAAACACTTTTATGCATTTTTCATTCTAATATTTTGCATTCATGCTTCCTGGTCCTGTGCTTCGGCTTTCAGTTGCCTGTATTTTCTCTTTTTGCGTAAGTCATCAATCATCTGCTTTCTTATTCTTTCCAATTCTTTCAGCCTTTTTGCTCAATGAGTCCGATCTAGTTTCCTTTTCTTTTAATTTTCGTATTCATGAGAGCTCTAACTTTGCCCACTCTTCTTAAAAGTTCTTCATTTGTTGTATATAGATTTATGTTGTGTATGTACAACATGTAAACATTTATTATCGAATGCCAGTTTGACAAGTCACATTTTAGTCAAGTTTATTTTACAATGTAAAAAATGCTTTAACTTCAGCAACATTATGGATAGACCATCGTGTCAAATAAATTCATAGAAAGCTAAAGGAGGGATAGAAAACTGCTAAATAATGAACCTGCTAAATTATAAGCCTGCAAAATATTTGTTGAAAAAGAAAGAGATTTTAATTATTAATACTTCAACGAGTCCAATATCTCACACAACTCCATATTGCTTCAAGGAAACGATCTAAATCCAATCAGATAGACGCATTTGCAATGCCCTATTCCTGATTCACTCGTATTACACTCCAAGTTTATATACATATTAAGATAATCTATAGAGCAATTTAGCGTCGCACGAATATTATTAATGAAATATCTGTAAGATATAAGGTCATTAAATTAAAATATTGATTGGATACTGCCTAAGAAAAATCAGAATATATTGCACACAGCGCTCGGCCAATGATAATGAGTCATAACGATTTGTTACCGGAGCTTGTGCGATATATTTTGTAATGGATCTGAGAAATCCGGTTATAAGTTTCAGTTTCTTTATATTAATTACAGGTCAAAATACGGTTAAGAACAGGGCAAATTCACAGTATACCCTCGGCGTCTTTCCTTTAAAAATAAAACATTTTTTCATGAATTAATGAAATTTATGCTTGATAAAATAAATTGATTGAAGAGCGAATGCTTATATTTTTTTTACATAATTATTTATATTTTATATCAAACAAAATATAATCTAACTTATAGTAGTTACATAGATCTGAAAAATTCGGTTATACGTAGTTTCTTTATATTAGTTACAGATTAAAATACAATAAAGAACATGGCGAATTTATTCCAAGTATACCCTCAGCATCTGTTCTTTAAAAATAAAACATTCTTCCATGATTTATTAAAATTCATGCATGATATAATAAATTGATTTACAGCGAAAGCAGTTTAAAAATATTAGTAAGCAGACGTGATGTAAATGTTACAAGAAAATTAAGATTTTTAAGTTAAAATTATTATTATTATTATTTTTAATTATTTGATTTTGATCTGAATATGTGCAAATTAGCTACAAAATATACGAAGGTGGAACTATATTAAAATGGAAAAATAAAAATAAACAGAAGAAATTTATAAAAATAATATAAAATACAATTAATTTACTATATGAACATTTATATTGATATTTATAGTAAGTTCTATAATAAAAATGTATACTTGAATTATATTGAGAAAGAAACTAAATAATCTTTTAAATGCCCAATTAAGTTCAACTAATGATTGATAGTTAATTTATCATTAGTCGTATAAATAATTTATCGCCATTTTAAAATTTGAATTTCAAATGCTGCTCGAATTTCCAGAATCGAAAGTTGATATGTTTTTGCGGATCGCCAATTTAGTAAATCAGATTTGCATATATTTATATGCATGGATATATTGCGATTTTAAAGTATTTCGAACAATAAGTTTTATCTTAAACTGTTCGTTGAACTTTCTTCCAAAGTTTGAATATTGATTTCCATACAGTATGGATAAAATGACATGTAGGGTAAGCAAATACTGAAATGCTAATTTTTTAAAAAGCAATTCACTAATAAATCGTTTTGTAACAAATGCAAGTCTCTTTTTTTTACCGGTAGATCTTTTGGTCTACTTTTAATTACTTTCTTGTACTTTATTTCTTGCATATTTGGAGTAGAATTTAAAAGCCAATTACCTCTGACATGTTTTAGTTTTTTCTTGGCACTATAGCCCGAGTGGAAATTTGTTACGGCAAGCCCTAACTCAGGTCCGGCCCCTATAGGCCCCTATAGGGCTGTACTCCGGCGTCCGTATTACGGAATTTAGTGCGTGGCCCTCATAGGGGCCATATATGGGCGGCCCTAATATGGTAATTTGAATAGGGTCCATAAAAGGCATGCCTGAATTCAGCCCTAACACGGATTGCCCTATAATAATTGAAACGGGCCATATTCGGATGCCCTATTGTACCCCTAATACGTATTGCCCATGATATGATGATACGGTCCGTATTGGAAATTCATTACTAGAGCCCTAATACGGCTTACCCACAGATTATTTAGACAAGCCCTATCTGCATTCTTTATTTGAATCCTACTAGGATTCAATATCAATAGAATCAAAATAGTTTGATTTATTAATATTTTGTAAAAAAAAAAGGATTATAATGTGCATTATTGATCAATGATTGTCGTTATAGTCTAAAATAAATATAGAAATAAATTACATAATTAATAATAAAGAAATAATAAATAATAAACAATAAATGAATTATAAAAAATAACTATTAATAAATAATAACAATATGTAATCGGTAACAATATATTTCTTCGTTCTTTCCATAATCTGCATGATACCGTATTCATTATTATCAATATATTATAAATATAATATACGAATTTACGAAAGCTTTATACAACTTTGAACAAAAAATCCAATGGTAATACAAAACCAAAAAGTGTTTTTTTTTTTAATAAAATTAATAAAATCATGAAAGATAGGAAATTACATAAAATTTTTTAACAATAAAAATAATTATTGAATCGATTATATAACAAGATATTAAAATTATAGCGAATACAATAAAATAATTTTTTAATAAAAATAATACTTTTTGTGATTAGAAGTTATTAGGTATATTACTATTTTTCGATTTTGTCATGTGAGACATATAATATATATATATATTCAATAGATAAGTCCTGGATTTTTTCAATATATTGATTGTTTCTTTTCCGAACAGTAAATCCAATAATAAAAAACAATTTGTTTTTTGAAGATGTTTAATACGACGTTTCGGAACTAGGTACGTTCCATCATCAGGTTTATTCTGTAATAATTTATATATCCATATCACTAATATTTTTTTGTTAAAATAAAATAAAATTTTGTTAAAATATCTTCCAAAAAAATCGAGTGTTTTTAACAAAAAAATATTAGTGATATGGATATATAAATTATTACAGAATAAACCTGATGATGGAACGTACCTAGTTCCGAAACGTCGTATTAAACATCTTCAAAAAACAAATTGTTTTTTATTATTGGATTTACTGTTCGGAAAAGAAACAATCAATATATATATATATATATATATATATATATATATATATAAATTTTTATGGGTCGTCGAATAAAAAAATTAATGTACTATAAGTTATGATCAATTTATTAATAATAGTAGTAGTTTCCTCACTGAAATTATATATATATAATCATATCGAATGTAATAAGTAGAAATAATAAGATCAATTCTGCGTACGTGAACTGTTTGCATAAGATATAGGACCTTCTTAGAAAATTCGTCCAGCACACATATATCGTATTTATTCATTTTAGAGTCTAGACTATACATGAATATTAACTCATATCGAGTATCGAAAGTGTAACAATCAGAAACAGGATCGATGACCTTTTTCTTATGCGTACTTGGTCTATCTAAAGCATAGGACCTTGACATAGGACAAGTAGAAAAACTGAAATAAATTTACATAATTTTACTTTAATAATAAATATCAAAAGTTTTACATTTCATTTTAACATATTCTAAATACTGCTAAACATTAACATCGAATGAAATAGAGTGGGCAAGAGTAAGAAAGATCGGCGCTATGTCACACGTTAACTTTATAGATGCCGGCGTACAGCAGATTGTGAACAATATACATTTATGATTGCTCATATAATACGAATAGGCAACAAACATTTTGTCAAATATTATTTCGAACAATTTTTTTATGTGGACAGAAATACTGATATTAGTTCAAATAGATCTAATATTGAAGTTCTACGTAAAAAAATTAATAGTACATTAATTTTTCTATTCGACGACCCATAAAAATTTATATATATATATATATATATATATATATATATATATATATATATATAAGTATATATTGAATGCAGAGAAAGAGATCATCATCGCGCCGTTGCATATGATATTATATAAACCATTGATTGATAATATGGAATACGATCGAGGCACCAATACATGTATGTAAGAACTTCATCTTCTATCAAAGAGGACCATTGTTAGTTTTTTAGTTCATTACTGAATGCCAAGCTAAGCGGTCGTTATGTGTTTAATAGGAAGTGCGAAAATTACGAAATATTATTACGATATATTTTTATTTGTTTTAAAAGAACGTCGTGTAATTATCGTTTAATAATCAGTGGAAAAGTAGTGTATTGTGTTGTTTTATTTCCCAATGATACAAGTGAAAATAGAGTATCGATGTAGTGCCGGTGGATTGGTTGATATATAATGAAAGATAAGATAAATTCGAATGCCCATTTTTAAATAATTATGAGCTATCGGGAGAAAATTTACTTCTTCTTCAAGATTTGGTGAAGCGTCGGGCGGCACCAGCATCGGATAATTGGAGTCTTCATGAGGTGGATGTACGAGATTACGCGAGTAAGTATTATTGATCAACTACGTATTGTGTATTTTGTTATATACACACAAACACACACACACACACACACACACACACATATATATATATATATATATATATATAAACATATCTTTGATTTGAGTTGTAATTTCAGATACATATTAAATTGCCTTGGAAAAGTTAAAAATATTGCAACAAAAGGAATATGCGTTTTCTACGGACAATGAAGAAACCATAAACAGAAGGCAAGATGTTCTGAAAAAACAATACCGCTTGAATAAAGGGCGTTTTGTAAATCAGAATAACGTCGATCAGCAGTTGTCGGAATGTAACATAAATTTAGGCAATAAGTCGCGCAATGCTTCAAGTAAGTGTATTCTTGTTAACAATTTATCGTGTATTTTTCTTTTTATTATTATCGAATAATTTAATTTTAATTTTTAGTTTTTATTTTTTTAGTGTTTAATGTCTTAAAGACAGTGAACTTGTGAAGTGTTTATATGGTAGGTATTATTCACACAGTACACATAGATGATTTTATTATTTATGGCTATACATTTTGTTACAGGTATAATGACAACTGAATCAATTAAAAATCCGCAGTTGAGCCCTATTAAAGAGCAAGCATTTAACCAAGCCCTCGGGAAGGTTATAAATTATTCCCGTGATTGGGAGAATGGGAGAGATCATAGGCGGACCAATAAAACCTAATTAACATTTGTTATTTATTGTTATTATATATTAAAATATTGTTATCAAAAGAATTAATAAAAAAAATTTAGCATATGCATTTTTTATGGGCCATGCCAATTATTATTTTCAGGGCCACATCAAATATATTTTTCAGGGCCATATCAAATATATTTTTCAGGACCATATCACATATTATTTTCAGGGCCGCATCAAATATATTTTTCAGGGCCATATCAAATATATTTTTCAGGGCCATATCACATATTATTTTCAGGGCCATATGCTTATTTTAAGTTAAGGGCCAAGTTCGATATTTTTATAGGGGCCATTTCATATTTTCGATTAGGGCCCGGAACAGTTTGCCCAACACAGACCTTATCCGGCAAGGCGTTACATATCGCATAGGGGCCAAGTACGGTTGCCGCACTGGGACCCTACTTGATTTAGGGCAGCCCTGATCCGCGCCATACTTCAATTTCCAGTCGGGAGTTCTTGCAAAATAGTACCATGTCGATTATAAAATAGGTCCCCAATAATCGTGGAAAACACCCTCAAAATTAACTTTTCAAGGCGCGAAACACGTTTAATTACTTCGAAAAAACTTCGACAATGACGCTCAATATCTGGCCGGATTGTGATCGTGGCTTTCTTCATGTTATACAGTCGCGAAAACGTTACTAAAACTAGCCAATTTTTAAATAAGGCCACTGTGTGATTTTGCCCATATATACCATTTTATTCGTATTCCCTCTAATATCCGACAAGTGTCTGGTAGATCGGTACTCTAACAAATTATTGAAGAAATAATTGGATCTTTTATTCCACGGTGATCTAGATAATTTTATGAGGTATAAAATTCAATTAAAACGAAATGTTCTGCTTATTACTTCGATCATTTACGCATTTGATTTCGTATAAAGAACTTACAATGCGGATGTATTGCTATTGATGTATTATGCGAGAAGTTTACTAATGAATTTCTGTAAGTCCGTCCACATACACGTATGTCTACTTACAATAGAGAAAGTGAATATGCATGCTGATAATAATACGGGCAGCTTGATTATTCAAAATAATTCCCTAACAAGTGTAACCAATGGTCTGGAAAAATATCTTGCTTCGATAACATACGAGTATTTTAAGAGAAAACTTCTATGGACAAGATACGAGCTATCCACACTTGAAAAAAGCTTTTTAAATGAATACTGAGTGACCACTGCTTCGTCTTAGGCTGTCTGAGGATTCTGATCACTAAAGGTCTCGAAAACTCAGTTAAAGTTGTATTAATCAATTTTTGAAATTAATACAAACTTGTATTAATTTTAAACGACTTTGAAATTTGATTTTCACGTTTTATGAGAATAATTTAGAATTGGTCAATCTCATACATACAAAAGTCCGAAATGGGTATCTCACAACGCTTTTAGCTATCTATCAAATGATTATTTTCCTTTACAATAGTCACTTTTACTTCGATAATAAAAATGTAAAAAGTTATCGACATACATACATTCTAATTAAAAACTAAAACAATTTCAAATTGGAGCGGAAAATCCATGAGATCTTTTCTAAAAAGTATTTGTTCGAGGCCGCTTAAAAGTAAAACCGACAGCATTCTAAATTGTCGAATAAGACATTAGAAACAAAAAGTACAAAACCAAAACTTGTTTTCGAGGAACAAGTTTTTTATTGTCTAATGCTACTTCTGTTTGCCTAAAAATTTAGATTATAATGCTCTTATATTTGTCGGCCAAAAATAAAAAACGTAAGACGTTAATTATGAAAAATTATATTTCATGAGCATAGTAGACCGAATGTTTTAGTTGACTACCTGTATTTTTTTTTACCAAAGCCTAATAACATTTTGAACTATTTTTTAAATGGTTTTAAAATTCTGAAGGATACATATTTTAATAAATAGTTGTGTCCACATTTTGAAAATCATATGTTGAATTACATTCCTATTTACAACCCGGAAATCTATCAATATCTCGTTATTGACAGACAGAACCAATTAAAAAACTCTTGTAAAAACAGCATTACATCGAAATTTTGACGTTTTCTAGCATCTGAAATCGATTTGAAGCTTGTAAATCAAAGAATTCGAGGTTCGGGAAATAATACAAAATGAGCAGAATGATCATTAGAAAGTATCTCTAGCGCGAACACAAAACATATATCTTGCTCAGAACTCAAACAGTTAATGCCAATACAAAATAACAACAATCGAATATCTCTGAGTGGTATTTTAAATAGAGATATTGGAGTGATTGTTTCAATCTTGATTTTGAACTAATGTAAGTACAATATGTATATACATGTTCTAATTTGGGGCAAACAGATTAACTGCAGATATGCCGGATTTGAAGCACTTTGAAATAGGCCTAGATCATTGTGATTGAACACACCGTTCAATTTAATAAAATAGGTGCAGTTTTATGTAATGAATACTTGTGGTGGGTCAGTAAGAGTTTTGTTCCAGGTTAAAATGTTCAAATGTCCAAAATACCCATTTTGGACAGCCAGATATCAAGCACCATTGATATCGGTTTTCACTTGAATATATAGATCTAAAAAAGTGAAAATAGCTCTTGCCGCCATTCCTGCATCAAAATACAACATATGCCATCACCATTGGAGAACGCATAATAAAGTATATTAAACATAGTTAGGCCCATTGTTGAATTGTTTTCTAAAAATGCCATGTATTTGCCAAAGTTCTAATTGTTGTTCATGAATAAAATTGACCAACCATTGGGTTGCCTTCTAACAATATTGTTGAGAAGGAGGTTTATCACAATAGCTCATAGAACTATTAAGTTCTGATTGCTGTACTAATTAAAATCTTTATAAAACTAGTGGGGTGCATGGCATCGTGCCTTAAGGCTATAATTGCTGGAACTTCCCGTACCGTAATTAAAAATCTTGGTACGGAACCCAAAAAATCTCTATAAAATATTTGATAATTTGATGTACATATGTCCAATAAACGTTTTTGACCGCCAAATGAAATTTTTTCAACTTATTTTTATTGAGAGTCCATAACCGTTGGACCTGCCTTCCCAAAAATTTGATCAGTTGTTCACTTTGTCAATACAAATAAAATGTTTTTGAATTATTTAGATCGGACGCTCCGTTATCTTAAAAACTGAAATACCATTTTTGTCACTTTTTGCCCCGTATCTCCGAAACGGCTAGACCTGCCTTTGCCAAAACTAATCAGCACGTCTCCTTATCAGTAGAAATCGAATGTGAATTATTCAAATGCGAAATCGTCGACGAAAATTTGTATCCGCACACACACACGCACAAATACACACACACATACATCAATTTTTCCTAAGGTATGCCAAAATGTTCAGAAACCTCTGAAACGTAAAGATATATAAACATTTTCATTTTGGATTTTTTTGCGATTACCATAACTTACGGGCTTATCACGTTAACTTACGGGTAAAAAATAAGAAAAAGTATGTAATAAAATTATGTATTACAATTAGAGTTTTGCATATTTAATCAAATTCTAACTTCATTTTAGTATCTTATAGAACACATAGTATTGATTGCTTTTTATAATAATAATAAATAATAATCGATTACATCTGTTCACAAGCACACACAAATTTTTATTTATTGAGCAAAATGTTAATTCCACCAATAATTATTTTACCTGTAATAAATCATTGATTCAATTCAAAGTTGTGATTAATTTTCATTAATGCCTTTTACATTTACTAGAGAAGTTTTATTCCGAACGGATAGTAGTAAATCAGAAAGGAAATAAAACGAACTGAACCGTTGGGTAGAGTTCGACTTGATCATAGATGGAGGATAAAAAAAACTTAACTTTACAGTTACTTTTTTCCCGAACCGTAACAAAATCATCAGCGTTTCAAAACATTGATGATATATATTAAAACATTCGATTTCGTAGTATCATCTTGTTTGTTTCAATTCTTGTCAGTGTTTTCCAACATTTGGAGAATATTGGACACTATCAAAATTAAATGAAAATTAAATTTACAACTAGTATTATTTGAACTATAGTTAATACAGCAGTTTTTTGTATCTTTGCTTTAATGATGCACTATATGTAATTTTGTAAAAAAGTGAACATTAAATTCATGTTAGTGTTCACCAATATTTTTCTGGTCACTATATAATAAAACAAATTAAAAATTATACTCAAAATTATTAACTATAGTTAACACTTCGTTAAAATTTGTGCAAATTTTTTTTATCGAAAGTCTAGCCAAAAATCCTTGACCGATTTTAAAAATTTAAAAACTGTTTGAAAGATATCAGTTGGGAATTGTGTTGATTAGTTAAAGTTAAACGAGAATACTACAATATTATAGGCCTAGGAAAAGTGCATTAATTATAAATTAATTACACTTTTTAGAATGATGGAATTCATAGTCTTGAAAAACGTTCTAAAATATTATGGATCTACGAAATGTTCTACGAGCATCTTAAAATATAGGCCTATGAAAAATGGTTTAAATATAAAAGTTCAAATTCAACGAGTTGGATGAATTTTTTATGATCACAGAGTTCATGGTCTTAAAAACATACTAAAATATTTTGGGTCTACGAAAATTGGTTTAATTATAAAAATTCAATTTTAATGACTTTGATGAATTTTTTATGATTAGAGAGTTCATGGTCTTAAAATCATACTGAAATATAATTTTATGGGTTTTCAAAAAGTCCTAGGAGCATCCTCAAATATTATAGGCATAGGAAAAGTGGTTTAGTTATAAAAATTCAAAATCAACGACTTTGATGAAACTTTTTATGCTGATAGAGTTCGTAGTTTTAAAAAACATACTGAAATATTACGGATATACAAAATATCCCTCGAGCATCCTAAAATATTATAGATCTACGAAAAGTGGATTAATTATTCAACGACTTTAGTTTTTTTTAATTACAATATTTATTACAACTGCTAAATAAAATAACATCTAGTAATACTAATGAACAATAACATAAATATAAATAA